CCACAGCTAGCATTAACCAAGAAGAAGGTCTTTTATATTTAAAGATAGAAGTCCTTCTACCAACGAGGGAAGACACAGGAGAGTTTGTAACCTGTGTATCTGTCATTTCCTTTTGGTTGACTCCTGCTTCATTTTACTACCTGTTCACTCGTTTTTAGCAAACTAAGCTACTTGTTAAGCTTACCTTGTGTGTCTACTAGGGCTGTGCAATTAATCGTATTTTAATCGCAATTACGATTTTGGCCTGCCACAATTACGAAAACAACATAATCGAAAAAATACATTATTTTGCTTTGCTAGGTTGTGACCGCGCAACATATTTGATCTAATTAATTTTAGTCTAATTCATTTGTATTTATCATATTTATATATGTGTAGAAGCTTGTTGAAGTGCGCTCCAAAATATTTGTTGATCTTGTTTATTGGTATTTATTATTTTGATATTATTTATTTAAATGTATCATTTATTTTTGTATTGGTTTTTCAGTTGAATTATACGTTCAGGGTAATCAACAGTTAAAAAGATACTGTTCAAATTATTGTTTGTATTTGTTTTAAAGTTCAATAAATTGATTTTTTCAAAGTCAATGAATAATCGTATTTAATAATCGTGATATCAATTATTGACCAAAATAATCGTGACTATGATTTTTGCCATAATCGCACAGCCCTAGTGTCCACCTTATTTCCAGTCTGTTGTGAGGTGAGGTTGTACAGCTGCTTCCCATACAAAGTCCATATGATGTCGTTTTGCATGAGAAAACGTACAAAACAGAGATGTTGTAGACGAGGTCAGTAAACTGGAAAAGAGTATACTTTGAAAGGAGGAAATAAAACCTGGGATTTTAAATAAAACAATATTAAAATGAAGAAAAAACTCCACTAAATAAACCAGTAATCTCAGGAGAGGCCATTTTCCTTCTCAGCCTCAAGTAACTGGACCGTACCATTATCACAGGGGGGGATGAAATAATCAAAGCATCCAAATCTCTCAGAATAAAGAACATACCAATAACATTTGTGCTTTAAATGACTGCTGATATCTCTGGCTTTGTCATTAAATACCAATGAAGACAACGAATACAATAGATTTTAATTTACTGAACTGAATCCCCTCTATTTCCTTCCTATTGGTACAGCCTTCCCCATTTGACTGATTCATTTATCATTGCATTATCAGTGCAAAAAATGACATTTAGTTATTTTTTTCCAAATTGTGCAGCTCTAATTTATATTTTGTATGTATAATATGAACTTGCAGCGTAAATAAAGCTGTCACATATATGTAGTGGAGTAACAAAGTGAATTTTCACACTCAAATGGTTTGAAGAAGTATAAAGTAGCATAAGAACAAGTGAATATAGTTAATTGCATTATACCACAAATATTTCCTTTATGTCCACTTTCTACTACTCACCATGTTCCTCACGTTCACAGATCATGGTTAGTTTGCATGACTCTGGCTCTACTTCATTCTATTCATTTCTATTTCTAGGATTACAACCATATTCAATGTAAATACTGCTATTATTTACTATATTTCTTTTTACAATTTTGTAACGTTATTATAGTTTTTTTTATATTATAGTCTTCAATAGTTTTTCATCTGTGTTTTTAATCTTTGTTTTATTTTATGTATGTTTATGTATACTATGCACCAAAACACCAAGTCAAATTCCTCGTATGTGTCAACCTACCTGGTAATAAACCTGATTCTGATTCTGTTTCTAATCAATTAGTACCTCCAGCTCATAATATTAATAATAATAATCAATTTATAAGCGCACTTTTCATTTGAGTCTTCTTCTTCGAGTCCGTAGAAATCTCAGATGTCGTTCTGCCAGTATCGGGCACAGGCCACAGCTGATGGGGTAGGTTCTGCCAGGTCTTCTGGACTGCCCCGGGCGGCATCGGCACATTCCAGTAGGTGGGACATTGTCTGCACTGATCCACAGCTGCACGTGTCTTCTGTGGTGTAGTTCCACACTTTCATCAGTGCTTTGCACCTCCCCTGTTCCACACGCAGTCTATTAAGTGACTTCCAGGTTGTCCAGCCAAGGTCGTGGCCACTAGCAAGGCTTTCCGTTGGTGTGATTCCTCTGTCCAGCCATTCAAGAGCTCGTGTGTCATGTCTTTGCCATTCATCTTCCCAGATGTTGGTCCTTGCTGCTTGTTTGGTTGTCTGGAGGGGCAGGACTGTCTGCACAAAACTGGCTCTGGATCGGAGCCTGCGTGGGGGTGCTACGTGGCCATGCAAGGGGTGTCTGAGTAAACACAACTCAAAGTGCCCACCAACCCTAACACCACGTAATACTTCTGCACTATTGAATAATTGTGTGTGATTCTTACAGTAAAACCTGCACAAAGTTCCTATATATTATAAAAAGCTCCTTCACTGATCACTTCATCGGATAGCTAACAGCTCGACAACTGTACTTTCGAAAAAAAAAAATATATATATCAATAGAGTATCCAAAGATGTGAAATGTAAATAATGAATTAAAACTCTCTGTAATGTATCAATCTACCAACCGAACAGACACTTGATAACTGGACTTAAAATCACACTGTACATTTGTATTAAATCTAATATTTAATAATACCTTCCTTGCACAATTACTGTATATATCCTGCTTATATTTTGTTACTTTAAATTTGTATTTCAACATGTATATTTTTTACTTTTTTAATGCTATTTGAGACGTTTACAATTTGGATTGTTTATTTCTAGTCTTTTAATTTCTCCAATGTACAATGCCATGTCTTTGTATGCTGCTGCAACGCAAACATTTCCTAAATTGGGATCAATAAAGTACTTCTTATCTTATCTTACACATGGCACTGTCCCAGGTTGCCCATATGGTAGATCCGGCCCAGTTCTCTAATGAAGGTGCATGATGAGTTCATTGGATGTAAAACAGGCAGCAAAGACAAATGCAGATGATTCAATCCAGATTACAGGTGGACAGGAGAACATGAAACACAGATGACCTTCTTACTGATCGGGTTAGAAGAGAGTGTGAAGGTGACAGAAATGTAGAAACATGTGAGAATAAACCTTTTTCACTTGTCCTGAAACACATCTGGATCCCCCGACGCACGGTGGTGTAAATTAAGTTGTTCGGGTGTTAATGGGGTTTTCAGTTCTGCCTAAATGGATGCACATCACTATAATTCAGTCTCAGGCCAATGTCATGCTAGTATTCAACAGGAAAACACAAATACACTCACGCAAAGACACACTGAGTGTAAATGGAAGTGGGGAATTAAATAGATAATGGGCATGTGTCCTTGATAAACCGCTGTGGAGACATTACAGCTATTGCATTCATTTTAATTTCTAAAGGCGAGTGAGATTTTAAAGGATTGACAAGCAGAGTGACTTTGGCTTCACCTTGGCAGAGATGGAGTACATTTACTATGCAGTGTTTTGTTGTTGTTGTCATGATAAAAGGAGGGCAGGTAAAGCCGTTTCCACTCACATTTAGCTTTGATCCTCTCAGCAGCCGCTTCAAGGCTTAGTGACGGGACTCTTGGTGTTTAAATAATAACGTAAATATGGTTTAAATGTATTTCGGTTTTGTAGGGGTCATGTGCTTTAGTGCAGTGGTTCTCAACTGGTGGGTCGCGACCCAAAAGTGGGTCGCGGACCCGTTTCAAGTGGGTCGCGGATGTGTGAGTGAAGAAAAAAAAGTTGAAAAAAAAATTCCATTTTTTTTTTTTTTTTTTTTGGGAAAAAATGCAAACTTTTATTTTGAAGGACCGATTTTCTAACGCTGTGCATGCAGTAGGCGTTGGACTGGAAGTACCGGAGACCATAAATGGTTTTGAAAACTTCTGTCACGTAGTGATCATCTTCTCAATAAAACATCTCTGCTGATGTTTTTTCGAGTCTTCTGGCCAATCAGAATCAAGATTGTTGCCGGAAGTCCCCACGGAGAATAACTTTGCGGTAGAACTCTTCTTTATACATCCATGGGTACAACTTCAGATAAAAATGAACACATAATGAAATATGACCCCCGGTTTGATGATTGACAGGTCACAGAACAATGGGAGCTATCTACCCTTACCCACAATTTAAAGTAAATCACACAGACTATCTCCTCTGCAAGATGTCAGAACTAAGTGAAAAACAAACAATGGCATAAAATATTATTAATATGTCGGGTGGTAATAGATTTATTTATTTTCTTCTCAGAGTGTACCAGAATGCGTAGTTTGTTAGTATTTCTAAAAATCTCCTGGGGGAGAATCCCCCCAGACCCCCCTGCTGGGGTTGGGTTTTCAGCATGTGTGCCTTTTTATATAGTTCAGCTTTGATTCCATCATCTCATTAAACCTTGTTTAAAAGCATACTTTAGTTCTGTGAAGGGATATATGCACTGTACTTCACTTTTATTAATATTGTATTCTGAAAAGCGTATATATTACAGCACGATTTTTTGTTGAATAGATTTGAGTGCTTCAAAATGTTGGGTCGCGATGTATTGACCAAGTAAAAAGTGGGTCCCGAGGCCTGACCAGTTGAGAACCACTGCTTTAGTGGATTAGTACTCTGACGTTCAAATGTTGTATTTTTCATTTTTTTTTCAGAAAATCGCAGAATTATGACTTTTCGGATTTCTTTTTTGTTTTATGAGATTAAAGTCCGAATTCTGACGAAATTCAAAAAATTCTGAAATCTTAAGAAAATCAATTCAAATAAAAAACAATTAGAGAATAATGAAATTATTTATATTCAGAAATTTTTTTTAATTATTAGTTTTCAGAATTCTTGGAAACATTTAATTGTATTTATTTAGTAAATATTCAATTCAATTTTTTTTTCCTCAAAAGAATAATAATTTTGAGAATTAATTTTCCTGAAAATCTCAGAACTCAAAATGTAATTCACTTTTATTCAGATCTCAATTTTTCTCCACATGTGGCCCGACTGTAATTATTATCTTGTACATAGTTTCTCAAGTGCAGTAGGAAAAAAAAAGGCATGTCAAATGTACAGTAATTAAAGGAGTTTATTACGAAGTGAAATGTGTCGTCCAATAACTGAAACAGTGACATATATAACTTGCAGGATCAGATATCCACATTGATCTGTTATAATAACACTAAATATCTTCTGTAGATGCTTTCTCTAAACTCCTCTCAGGCTCATGTTTCGAGAAAAAAATAAATGACTAGAATTCTTAAAAACATTACGTTTCATTTATTTCAGAATATATTCTTAGAGAAAAAAAACTGTGAGAATGTATTTTTACTGAAAATCTCAGAACTCAAAAAATGTAATTCACTTTTTGTCAGATCTACATTTTTCTCCACGTGGCCCGACTGTAATATATCGAGTGCAGTAGGAAAAAAAGAAAGCATTTAAAATGTAATTAAATTAGTTTATTACGTCCAATAACTGAAACAGGGACATCTGTCACATGAAGGCAAAGGATCAGATATCCACACTGATCTGTTATTATAATACTAAATATCTTCTGTAAACACCTTATCTGACTCCTCTCAGGCCTCGGAGTTGTACACGGAGAGGTCAGAGGTCGCGCTCACGTGGATTTCCCACAGGAACTGATTGGCCGGCCTCTTGATTCTGTCTCTCTGCGTTCGGCTCTCTCGGATCATCAGCTGCACGTCCTCGTCCTCCAGAAGCCGGATCAGGTCGCCCTCGGCGTCGCGGTAGTTTATGGAGATGTCGTCCTCCTTGAAGACGTTCCTGAAGAGAGATAAAGAAAGGGATGAGGTGACTTCAGACCTTTTTACATGACATGAATACATGTTAGCCCTCAGGTTTAAACAAGGTTCCCAATGACTTTCAAGCTCCATTTTCCCCACATTCAAGATGAATTACCCTTTACATTTTTAGAAGCAGCTGTTGCAGAACACAATCATACAAACAACAGGATGCCGCCCGTTTACGTTTAACGGTAAGTGAACAAAAACATATAACTTCATATCATTTCTATGCTTGCTCATAATTTCAAGTACTTCAAATGACTAATGTCTATTTCTTTTGTTTCTCAAATTCAAAAACGTTCAAGGGTCAGCATGAATCGAGTTTACACCCAAACTATCCTACCAAAATAAAATACTTCTCAAAAGGTCTCCACAAAGAAAGTAAAAAGGAGGTTGAAGTTGTGGAATGATAAAACCTAAATTATTAAAGATCACATCCAGTTATTTCATCAGAACATAGACCTTTTAGTTTTGATATAAAAGATGGAGAAGATCTAAAAAAAATTAAAAAAAATCTTTAAAGTAGATTCATTCGAAATAAGGACAAAAGGGTCTGTATTTTTGAAAAACACATCATGCTAACTTCATGTTAAAGTTTAAATGTACGCTATTTTTGGATTCAGAAAGGCATTTAGTTTACGTCCTCCATTTTATCGGGTAAACTCATTAATGGCGACGAGTTCTTACATTACTTCGAAATAACTAATGTTTCCCCAAAATAATGGGATAACTTTCTCGAGATAATAATTACAATAATTCAATATATTTCATGAATTAAAGGTAATACGTCTTTGTCTGTATCTTCTCATTTTGTTATTTAATTATAATGATATAACTCACATTAGGCGCTTTCACACCGGAGTACTTTTCCCAGGAATAGTTCCGATAGTTCCTGGGATTTTGCGAGAACTTTTTTTCGGGAACCTTTTCACCCCTTTTTAGTCCCTGCTAGAGAGGTGGTACTTTCCTGGGGAGGAAAAGGTTCCAATTTCTGATTGGCTGGGCGAATTGCAAACCACGCCCCGTAAAACTCCGAAAGGTTTTGTGAAGCCGCCATTTTATTTGCTCGCATTAGCATTATTAGCATTAGCCCAGCGCACCAACGGAGAGAGACTAACTTATGGCAACACAAAAGAAAACGTGGGAGCGGTGGAGTGATGAGGTGTCAGCGCTTCTGGCGATTTACCCGGGACTTCGGGGGGGCGATTTACTGCCACCCGAAGTCCCGGAGTCCGGTATACGGCGTGAAGTTGTTTGCGGCCTGCCAGTAGACCCAAAGCAGAAGAAGAAGAAGTGACGTCAGCGGCTTCCCTCAGGGACTTATTCCGGTGTGAACGCGATCTACTAGATAGTTCAGGAATTAAAGAGTTCCGGGGAATTAAGTTCCGGGACCTATTCATGGGAAAAGTACTTGGTGTGAAAGCGCCTATTAAAGACACAACTACAAAGTATAATTGTCACCCCCAGAAAACAGGGGTAATAACCTGTTTGTATTTTCTACATTTAGGCTTTTTATATAGACTTTCTTTCATATAAAGTGTTTGTTAAAAGTAATTTGAATAATCCATTCATTCTCCCAGTAAAGGAAATGACTCAAGGCTTCCGTTGATATATTTCAGCTTGATTAAAATGTTGCTGTGGGAATAATCACCAATAAACCGTGTGCAGGACCAAAGGAAATGAGATATGAAGTTACCGCCTTCCTCTAAATTAAGAAAGAAATATTTGTGTCCGGGAAATAATAAGAGAGAGAGAGAAGGAGTGAACTTTTAGGAGGTGTTTTCTGCAGGCACAACATGTGTTTTCTTATTAGTGGACATGCATTTCATTTATCTGACTCTTTTATCCAGAGCGACTTTCAATGAGTGCAAAAACCATAGAGATTCAAACTCAGAACAACAAGAAGGAAAGTGCAGATATATTCACTTCAAACCACCACAGTGTTGTGAACATACTGAATGTACTCTTCCAATATCAGAGTACACATGCTAACAAAGGTATCCCAACTGTAGCTGTGTTCATGACAGGATGTATGATTACCTAGAAGAGCATCAGGACTGTTTTAGGCATATGATAGCTATGTGATTAACATGATGATTCAGCCTCTATGGAGATAGACATATGACAAGCATGCTCATTTCTGACGTGGAGCTAATCTGAAGTAAACATTGAATACTGCTTTCTATTCCTCCATCTTGTGACTGTGTAACTCCCTCTCTTGGATATCAGCATGTGAAGGACACTGTTCTGGGAACTACTTGGCGGTACTGCAACTTCTGTATCAGTCTGTGACGTCACTGGGCCCAGAAATACTTTTTCCCATTGACTAACATGGGGAAAGAGACGTCTGTAAATCGGTGGATAATTTTTTTTTAACTAAATACAAAAAATGTATTTGTAATTTGAATAGTTTATGTAAATAACCCAATGTGTGTTCTTTGAACCTGAAAAGGAGATGGCATTGTTTTTGTTACTTTCATTGCAATTGTATCAGTGTTGTAGTCAAGTCACCAATTCACGAGTCCAAGTCACTCTCGAGTCACCACTCTTCGAGTCCGAGTCCAAGTCACCAAGGGAGAGTCGTAGTCGAGTCCAAGTCCGAGTCACCCAAGGAGTGTCCGAGTCGAGTCCGAGTCATCATTACCTGTGTTCGAGTCCGAGTCCAAGTCCAAGTCACCCAAGGAGTGTCCGAGTCAAGTCCGAGTCATCATTACCTGTGTTCGAGTCCGAGTCCAAGTCCGAGTCACCTAAGAAGAGTCCAAGTCAAGTCCGAGTCACAAGTCTTCATGTATTAATCTTCATGGATATATTGTGTTGTAATGTAGCTGCTCCTCTACATTGCTTTTATCCTGTCATGTTATACTAATCTGTCTATTGAACTGCTGTGAAGCCAGTTTGGCTACAATTCTTGTAATAGTACTATACAAATATAAAGCTTATTACTAATATTAATGTTATTATTATTATTATTGTAAATGACCTATAATATGTCTAACTATATTTAAAATGAGTTACCTTTTAGAGAAGTGATTATATTTGTATGCCAATATTTTCCTATGGTAAAGTTTTCGTTTTGCACTTTTATTTTGATAGTAATAAGATCGGGACTCTTATTTTGAAGGAACTTTTACCGGTTAAATCGGTTTACCGATAAAGATTAAGCCCCAGAAAGCACATGGCTACTTAGCATGCAAAATGACGTCATTCTGCATGCTAAGTAGCCATGTGCTTTCGTGTTATCGGCTGAATCTTTATTTATTGATTAGATCACGTTACTCTGATGTTAGTGTTCAAGACAGCCTATATGTCTGAACTCGATCCTTAGAGTAATGTGTTACGGAGCCTTCTCTTCAATATTTTTTTCACATAACGAGCATTTTGCGCTGCTCTTTTCCAATGTGGAAGCAGAATGTGTGAAAGCATACAGCACGATGCGGGGGGTGTCTCTAGACATCTTTAGACTGGAATAGCGGGGCCCAGTACGTGAACTCGCCTCGCAGCCGGTGCACACGCCAGGATAGAGGACATCAGACTCCATAGAAAACTTGCTCGAGTCCGAGTCCGAGTCGAAGTCGGAGCGTCAATGTACAAGTCGAGTCCGAGTCATCGTGGGGGGAAAAATTCACGAGTCCGAGTCCAAGTCATTGTGCGCGAGAATTCACGAGTCCGAGTCCGAGTCCGAGTCCAAGTCATCGTGTGCGAGAATTCACGAGTCCGAGTCCGAGTCCAAGTCATCGTACGCGAGAATTCACGAGTCCAAGTCCGAGTCGCGTCAATCAGTGCGCGAGTCTGAGTCGAGTCACGAGTCCCGAAAATCGGCACTCAAGTCCGACTCGAGACTCCATCTCTGAATTGTATACATGTCTTAACTTAACTTCCTGTTATACAACCATGTTTCGGAGGGATATGGTACAGTTTATATAAAAAAAAAAAAATATATATATAATAACGAAAGACTACTGTTATCTTTCTTACAGTGCAGACGCTTTTCTGCTTGCTCTTGCCTCTGCTTACTTTTTATGCTGATTTTCCTATTCTTATTCTCTGAAAACTTCGAGCAGCGGCTCCTGGACATTAACTTATCACTGGGACAGTTATTCATCGTAAATAGACGGAGGGTTTCAGCCATATTTCAACATTTTTACGACGACCTCAGTCTTACAGTAGCGTGGCCTAGCAACAGCTAAAGCCTGGTAGGCTATGCTATTTAGCTTAAGCTAGTTGGCAGCAAAATGCCTCCGTTCTCTACAGATGACTTCCACAAACTTTAACAGAAGATGGCTGTGTTGGAAATGAAAATGCAACGGTTGGAAGTTAACGTGGAAGTGAATGGACTATGTTGTGGGAATAACACCACTTTACCAGTGTTGCAAGATAATGGAAAAGGGTATGCTAACTCACAGCTAGTTAGCAGCTACAAGGTTTCCAAGGAACAGGAGGGCTGTGTACTGGGTAATAAATCTACAAGTGGTAGTCCTCCCTGGAACTCTCTGGGTGCAAAGCCTAAGAGTAAATCATTTCCATGGGATTTGGGAGGACGAATAACAGGCAGAGCCCAGCGCTCTGAAATCTGTGATGCGACCGGCTGGCCTGCATTGTTATCACCCAGGAAGAGTGCCTCTTCAACCCCTATTCATACTAGGAAACAGCCGTGGACAGCTGCTAAAGGGAGAACTACAAACAATCCTCCTAAACCACCAAGTGTGCCAATCCAGAACAGATACGCTCCGCTGACCGAGAACCGGAGATCTCTTTCTGATGACCTGGATAACCCGTCCTCTTCACACAGCAGGGTAAGGACCAATAGCTACTCCAAAAGTAAAAGGCTAGAGGGAAAGCTAACGGCTGGGCCTGAAACTCTGATTGTGGGTGATTCTGCTGTAAGAGATGTAAAAGGTCTGTGTAGTAAGAACAACACCAAAGTACTCTGTTTTCCCAAGGATATGGTCTCCGACTTGGCTGAGAAGATCCTGCATATTG